TAAGAGCTAAGTGTGTAGAAACTTCGTAAACAGGTAAGAGAATATTCGCTTTAGTTCAGAAACAGATACGTAAAACTCAAGAAGGGTTAATTACAATTTATTTCTCAAAATAAGAATTTCACAGATGGTCCTTTTCTCAGGACGTACAGCATAGCCTCCACTTGGCCTGAACTTAAAGTAAATAAGAAATGAAACTTAATTAAAGCTTAACTAAAAGATATAGCCAAGCTATCATGATCTCTAAGTAGTTGGCGCTTAAATATTAATTAAGCTAGCGAAGCTATGGAGGGGCTGAGATACGGACGAACGTAATAATAGCTTAGAGAGTGTGTAGCCAAACGACAAACGCGCGCTGGTCAGAATCTCTGGCACTCTCACGAAGTCAGTGGAACTTCGACTTAAATACCGCTTTTACTCATTTCCATTGAACGCGATTCTAAAAACGCATTCTGGTAGGAAATTGTAAGCTGAAATTAAGAAGGATAGGAAAGTAGCTTTAACTAAATATAGCTGTTAAAAACTTAGGATTGATTGAAATGTTGGCAAAATATTGGCACCCATCTCGTGCAGTAAAAGGCAAAAGGTTGTAAGAAATTTTTAAAAAAAATGCTTTCTGTCATAAGGTAACAATCACGCATGTAGGTTTACTAAAAAGAATAAATACCACACATTAAGAAACATATTTTGTATATATGTATGTGGCAACAGTCTAATGTATGTCTTTAAATTTTTATCGCCTTATGAATATTAAAGTTTGGTTCTCCTTTGATTAATTTGAAAAATTATACAGTGATGTAAACGTTAATTCTGATTCACATTTAAGAAAAGGCGGATTTAAACAAGATTCTGTGCATTTTGCGCAAAAAGTTTAATTTGTTTCCTGTTTGATTATCTTACTGCGTTTATTCACATTTGTTATTACAAAATGCAATTATCATAGCTAAAAATCGTATGCACATTGCTTGCAACCGGTTCATTACTATTAAAATGTTTGGTTCATTCTTTGGGATTTTAAATGATACCATTTATTAACACGAAATGGACAAATGACAAAATGAATGAAGGGTATGACTATCGTCTAACCAAAGGCAAAAACGTAAAAAGCGCAGCCTTTTTAAGTTGCTTAAAATTAACAACTTCTGTCAAAGAACAGAATTCTGTACTCAAAACATCATTCTTGATAAATGTCGAATTATAATATCTATGATTACTACTAATAATTTCGGACCACTAGCTGTAGACAATTCATTTATTTAGGAGCTTCAAGCAGTCTGGACATCAATTCAAGAGGAAAAGCCAGTTCCGAAACCTTAATTCATAGTCGTAAAAGCGAGCTAACAACATGCATCATAAGACCATTTGTAAGCAAATGTCTTACGCTCTGAATAGTTAGTAGCCAACAAAGCTCTCTGTAACCTCTACTTTTGTTCTTAACCTTCAAAATGTCCTTTGCTTGTTTCACGAGTTTTCCAATCTGGGTAAACGGGGGTACATAAAACTTTGATGCAATTAACAAGAAAAAAACTGCATTTCGGGAGACTAAAATATAAACTTGGGGGTTCATGATAAAATATTATTAACGGGTTGAGTGCTACGTCGCCGGTGACTAATTTATTTTCCGTTCAGACCGCATCAGTCACGGATGATTGAATGTGATACATAAGATGTAAAATTTAAGAAATTACATCGTTTTGATGTATTTTATTGAAATACTATGAACACAAAAACGATTGTTTTTCTCACGTATCATAAAATGGAACAACTTGTGTAGTCAATTGCCTGATCTTTTCTCTCACAAACATTGACCCATTTTCTTCATAATATAATATACAGTATCTTTGCATTATGAACACATATTCAGATTTTATGGAGTTTGTGTTGTGGTTTTTTAGAGCTAGTTGCAATACTGCTAGATGAAATGTCTTCATCCTGGCAAGGTTTTTGAGAGGTGACATTCAAATGATTCAACTGACATTTTCATATTCTAGGCTAAAAAAGGATTTTTTTGCACTGGACTAAAAACCACAGACAACTGAATGCAAATAAACGCAAAAAAAGTTCTAATCTTAGCTAATAAACTTAGAACTGCGCTTGGCATTGCTTTACCACAGTATCAGCGCACATCTAGAGCGCGTGGCGTGACGGGCATTTCCTTATAAATTCGCGTAGCACTCAACGTGTTAATAAAAATTTTCATAATAATAATTTCTGTCCATAGAAAATCCTCAAAGAAGAAATCAATGCTTAAACACCAGCTAATCTAGGAAAAAAAAGTCAATCGAAGACAATCGTTTTATTCTGCATGGAGTCATCGGTAATTTTTTTGGCTCATCATCAGTACGGTTGAGATGAAATTTATTGTTTGTGTTATTGAACATTATTGTTCTGGTGAACTATTTTTCCGTAAGTATCTACAACCAGTGGCGGTTGCTAAGATGAGCGGCGGTGCAGCTGAAACCCCTTCAAAAAATAAAATAAAAAATTTTAATTTACAGTCGGTTTTTTAATTATATTTTTATAAAACTTTTGTATTACAAATACCTTTTCGATATTCAAACTTTGATGCATAAAGCTAAAAGTAATTTCACTAATAGTAAATATCCCGATTACTATTACAAAATTTGAGCCGTATGCTATAGGCTAATAAACCATCAGCAGGGGGATCTCATTAACCACTTGGAAATTCCACTTTTTCCACCTATTTTTAATGTGGTCCTATTTAATAGCCATGATAATGATTTAGTACAGGTTGTTTGAAACAGTATTTTTAATTTTCTTTCTTTTTTAATTCTTTTCCCTTTTTTTAATTATTATTTAGTTTCTGTAAGTAAAAATATATTTGTTTTACGAATTTTAAAATTTCCAAAATTCGGCATTTACTTTTTTACATTATATTGGAATTGTTAAATTATTATCTTTGACTAAGGTACAAAAATATCTCATTTAGAAATCGTTTAACTGTTTCATTATCAGGTTTAATATCATACAAATAAATGCGTATTTTAGGAATAGCACACATTTGCGTATATGGGAATCCACATATATTAAGTTAGGACTACAAAAAGTCTACAAGCAAATACAAATGTTTTGAATCCTTGATGTAAATGAACAAGTCGATGGAAAAAGTGGATGATTTCCAGGTGACGTTTCAGAAGAGCTAACAGAAATGCACAGTTCAAATTAGACGGGAGCTTATGATCCCTCGACCGATAAAAACCTATAAATTTCAGGTTTCTTCTTAATAACATCTAGCTTCATGCAATCGGTTAATTTTTTTTTAAAACTTGTTTCACATTCATTTCTCTTGTTCTAAATACTATTTTGCTGGGCTTAGAGCGATATATATATTATATATATATATATATATATATATGTATAAATATTAGATATATATTTAGACTTAGAACAATATATACTATGAACACAAAAACGATTGTTTTTCTCACGTATCATAAAATGGAACAACTTGTGTAGTCAATTGCCTGATCTTTTCTCTCACAAACATTGACCCATTTTCTTCATAATATAATATACAGTATCTTTGCATTATGAACACATATTCAGATTTTATGGAGTTTGTGTTGTGGTTTTTTAGAGCTAGTTGCAATACTGCTAGATGAAATGTCTTCATCCTGGCAAGGTTTTTGAGAGGTGACATTCAAATGATTCAACTGACATTTTCATATTCTAGGCTAAAAAAGGATTTTTTTGCACTGGACTAAAAACCACAGACAACTGAATGCAAATAAACGCAAAAAAAGTTCTAATCTTAGCTAATAAACTTAGAACTGCGCTTGGCATTGCTTTACCACAGTATCAGCGCACATCTAGAGCGCGTGGCGTGACGGGCATTTCCTTATAAATTCGCGTAGCACTCAACGTGTTAATAAAAACATATTATATATATATATACATATACACACACACATATGAATATATATATGTAGGGTATCATTTACTTTGTCTAATGATGACACCGATAATAACGTTTAGTATTTTAATGATAAAAGAAACATACAAAGTAAGATGAAAAAATGAGTCCGTAGCATCACGAAAAAGGGGTAATCATCACATCAAAAGAGTATCACTAAAAAATCCATAGTTCCATCGATTCATCAAACTGCATCATCACTTCTGTTTTTGGGTCACACCGCGGCTGCCTTCGCTTTCGTCTCTCGTCTCAATCTCAATGGCGGAATCCTGTCATGCGTAAAAGGAGGAGTTCATTTTTCGCAGCATGGAGAAGAAGTCGCTTGGCTTGCTGTTGGCCGTGCTGTCGTTGAGCTTGTAGAAAAGGGGCCGATGACCATACGGCTTTCCTGCAGGACCACACAACTTCGCCTGTAGGGAGAAGGCATAAGATCTGAAAAGAAGAGATAAAACAAGGAAAAAAGTGGAAACAAATCAATGTCTAGGTGGTGAATGTTAACTTTGTACACCACCGTTTCATCTTATCAGCAGAGGTTAACATTATAATGGGGCCTTCATGGCTATCCTTTGTGCTTCATAGCAATCAGATGGATGAACTTTCGTTGTCACATAAGGACCGAAGAATATGGAACGAAGTTGAAGTTTCACTCCAGGCTGGTAAATGGAGGATATTCCATTGAGTTTCGATGCTGAACGCATCATTTTTCTGTGTCTGCAACTTCATTTACTTTGACGTTCCTTTAAATTTTCTTCGTTTGTACTTCCAGGCCCTTTTCTTGCGTTTGTTTGGGCGTGAAGCGGCTAAAGAGTAGAAAACTGTAATTTTTCTTCCAAAAACTTCAGCATTCTTTGTTGCCTCAAAAGCATCAACTGCATCCTTTTCTGTATGTAACTTACGGTAGCATTTGGATGTAAAGGTGATAAATTTTGAGTTATCTGAGATGCTTTTGGAGCAAGTTCTTCAATTTGAGAAATTGTAGTATCCGCTGGAATGCCAGAGACGTGTAGTTTCCTTGGATTGTATCCCCTTTCTCCCTGTTCCTTTGCATCTTTTTTCGGCATAGCTACATCTAAAATATCAGAAGACAAAGCGTTGATTTCTTCTGTACTGATATCAGTAGGAAAATGGTACTAATAGAGTTGTTACTAGTATATGTTGCTTCATCATCAAGAGTCTTCTGTGAAACGGTTCTTGTTTCAATTTTTGGAATATTTTCCGCCTTCTGAGTTTTTTCCAGTTTCTTTCCTTTGAGAGGTTCTGGACTTTTAGCATGTGTTTTCTGTTTTGTGTGTTCAGCACATCCTTGTTCAAACTGATTCAGTTTATTTTTGACAGCTTCTTCACTATTCTGCAAGCTTTGCTCATCATCATCATTAGTGCCATCAATATCATCTTCGCGAACATCAGCTTCATCAACATCATCGTCATCTTCATCAACGTCATGAACATAATCTTCATCAACATAATCTTCATTAAATTCATGATTGGCATCATCTTTGTCATCGTTCAAATTCAAATCATCATGGGCATCATCATCATTTTCATTCTTAACTGTATTGTTCAACTGATTTTCATTTCCTTTTATTCCCTGAAAATCTTTCATAGCAGTGTTAACTTTGTGTGATTTGTGAGGAGTAACGATATGTTGAACTTCCTCGCGAATGTCAGAGTTCAAAATGTGTGTAAGATCAAATGGAAATGTTTGATCATCAGTAACATTAGCAAACGTTAACAAAATTTTGATCATCATCACTGTTCATAAATAAATACCGTCTTTATGAAATGTAAATTGAGTTTGGTGCAAAATGACAATTCCAATAATCGCATCAAGAGAAATCATGTAGTCTTTTAGTACATGGATTTTAGCAGTTAAAATGGTGTTTTGAATTGTAATGTAGTCTTGAAAGAATCTAATACTTTGAACTGTGTCTCGGGCAATTTCTGAGAACATAATTATGGAGGAATGCAATCATGGAGAACCAGTCTTGCGGTATGTTTCGTCATTAATAAGTTTAGCTTGTGATCCAGTGCCACAAAATTATGTTAAAACATTCAAAAATTATAGATGAAATTTGGAAAGTACGAATTCAAACAAATTCTAAAATATATCTTCAAATTCTTATATCTTAAGTGTAGAAAATAGAATTTCACTTCAAGATATTATATCAAAAGTAATAACTTCAAATACGTTTTAACTTCAAATAACATTTTATAATCCTTGCGAAATATGTGCATCGCAAGAAATAATCAAATATATGTATCAAATTCGAAAAAGGAAATGTTGACGATTGAAAAAGTTTACTACAGAATTGACGATTCTTCAAAGTAATACTCATTTCAGAATAATAATCTTCAAAACAATACTCTTCAATTAATTTTCATCAAAATCAAATGCGTTTAGTTTATTCACTTAAACTTCATCAAAAAGGCCTCATCAAATATTCACAATAACTTGAAATAATACTATTTCGGTAAACAATGTTACTTCATGATTAGTATTACCTCATTAAAGAGCAGATAAGAACAATATTTTCCTGGAATAAATAAAACAGTGTACTTACTGTTTCGATGCATCACAGCAATAGAAAGTCATCACGGCATTCGATGAGAAACATAAAGAAAATTTTGTGTATTACAAATGACAGGCGTCTAGGGGAATTTAGTAAAGAATTTTGCATAATTCAAAGAATTCGACAGAGTTCAAGAGGCCGACCCATCCATGTAGGGTGTCATTTACTTTGGTCTATTAATGACACCGATAATAACGTTTAGTATTTTAATGATTAAAGAAACATAGAAAAATGAAAAGAAGTAAGATGAAAAAATAAGTCCATATCATCACGCAAAAGGGGTAATCCTCACATCAAACGGTATCACCAAACAATCCATAGTTACATCGGTTCGTCAAACTGCATCATCGTTTTTGTTTTTGGATCACACCGCGGCTGCTTTCGCTCTGAATCTCGTCTCAATCTTTCACTCTAAAATCTTTCACTCAATCTTTCACTCACTGGCAGCCGTGCTGCCACTGAGCTTGTAGAAAAGGCTGCCGATGACTACACACACACACACACACACACACATATATATATAATTATATATATATGTATAATTACAGTGTTTATATAGCTTTAAATAGTGTATTAAGATCTCATAAAATTCTAGAGAATCCTGTTTAATTTAACATGCTTTTTCTTTGTTTGATGAATACCATACGCATCTCTGTACTTTCACCATTCTTAGGGAAACCACCCAAGTTTAAAGTAACCGATAATGAAAAGTACTAACTAATGAAATAAAATCGCTCAGATATTTTTGTTTCGTATGTACTTTTATACAGCCAGTTAATTTTTAGACACATCTTCAAAATTAATATTTAAATATATTTACTCAAATCGCCGAACACAGTTTCAAATAAAAATTTTGCAGAATGTCCTTGAACACTGCCTTCAAGCTGAAGACTAATTTCAAATATACATGAACAACAATATTTTTTAAATGTACTGTTATATTAAATAAATCTGAACATAAAAATAAAGTTCATATGCAATAGGTGAACATTTATGCTGCAGACAGCGTTTTTACCATTAAAAGAAAATCTCAGAATTGAAAATTATTTAGCAGGTTTTCTTTAGCACAATTATAAGTAGCTGTCCTTATCCTGCAACAAGCTCTTTGATATCTAACACAGATAGTTTGCTTCTCATAATTATTTCACTAGTGTGTTTACTAAATGTTATAGTTAAAGGTATTTCCTTCTTTTATTTTCGAGAAACAAAATCTTGTCCTAAGAGGGCCATTTCCACCACGGCTAGTATTCAAATGCTCATCCAATTAAGGAACTCTTTGGTTAAAAATTCAATCAAACTGTAAATTCTTTAAAGCATCTTGTAAGGATCTTAAGTTTTACTAACGTTTATTTTATTTTAAATCTTTACTATCACTTCTTATTTTCTACTTCCGGCCAGAATTATAAGCGTGAAGGATTTTATGCAAAGTTGTCTGGCGAACGCCAAGTATTTAAGTGTGGCCTTTTTGCCAAGCAGGAGAGAGGAAGCAGTGAGTTCGAAGCAGGCCGCTTACCTTAGAAGTTTACGCAGTTGCTATTTGCCTTCCAGGCCAGAGGTTTTAATCCTCTTGATAAATTTTAAACGTATTGTAGTGTTCACAGTCTCTGTGCTACATACGCTTCCTGTTATTATAAGGCCAATCTTCCACGTTATTCTAAATTTAAATTAGAGTTTAGTTTTATTTTATACCTTTTACGTTAGACCCCGAAGTGGAGGGTCATTGTATTCCGAAGTACGGAAGTCATTGTATATAAGAAAAATAAAGGGTTTGTATACCCTTCGTCTGTATCCTGTCTACTTACTACAATTAGTGAACATAGCTTTAGTAAGCTCTCTGTTCCTAGTCAGGTCATTGTATGTTTCCGAAGAAGGTTAGAAGAAACATTGAACCTGATAGTGGCGCCCGAACGAAGAATAACCATGGCCGAGTTTCAAGAAGAACCTGTGCTGCCTGCAGAAACGGCTCAGAATCCAGAAATGCCAGCTGCCGCCTGGAAGGATTTGGGTTACATCGTCCAGACCATGCGCGCTTCGATGAAACCAGAAGCAACATTTAATGGAAACTCACCGGTAACCAGTTTTTTGGGAAAAATTGGATGACCACTTCATGCTCTACCCGTGCACGAGTTTCAAAAAGTTACCTTAGCTACCAGCGCTTTGAGGGGCCAAGCGCTTAACTGGTTCAAATGTATCGGCAGAAGTCTCTTGGGTCAAGCAGGAAGTCCCACCTATACTTACGAAAATTTCAAGACTGCCCTACTAAAAGCCTTCCCTGTTGTAAGGGATCGTGCGAAATTAGAAACAGAACTTTTCAGTATATATCAACAAAGAATGAAAACCTCTCGAGCTTTATTTTAAGAAAAATTCACGTTTTCAAACTCTTGTATGGAAACCGTCCGGATCCTGAAATAATTCAAGTGATTTTGCCGAGGTTACTACCCCAAGTGCAAGACTTTATTGAATTAAGAAATCCGACTACACTGGAAAAGTTATTTGAGCTAGCAATCCAGTTTGAAAGTAGAAGAACGGCGGACGTCGAAAGAAGACGCCAATATCAACAGCGAAACCAATTTGGTACGCCAAGACTACAGCAAACTCAAGCACACGGCTACGGAGAAAAAGCGAATCAGTGGGCAAGGAAAAACCCGAGCATTCAAAAACAGCCGGCGAACGTCGACAGTTCAATAGCAACCCAGGAAAAAAAGTCTCAAGGCCAGTGGAGAAAAGAAGGAAAGCACCGGAAAGGAAAAATAATTTAAAACTAAAACGGATTTCTGCTGACGAGAGGGTGCGGAAATCCGAAGGCCACGAAAACCCCTCTTCCTACAAGTTAAATATACAGTAATGGTGAAAAATTTAACTCTTCCGAAGATTGAAGTCTTGGTAATAATATCCCAGCCACCGCACTCCTGGATACCGGCGCGCAGTGTTCCTGTGTGGCAGAAGATCTTTTTTAGAAAGTATTTTCGCAAATACCGCATATATAATTCGGATAATACGACAGTATTAGCGGCGCAAGGAGAACAATGTAAGTGGCGTAGGTAAAGTAAATTACCTTTATACATCCGTATCAAGGACGAACAAGTAAAGGTGATGTTTTTTATAAAGAATTTGCAAGCACATATTTAATCTTAGGAATAGACTTTTCTTTCAGACGCACAAGCTACAACTGGATTTTAATGAAGCGTCCCTTAAGCTGACGATGAAACCAGTGCGTGAAAGAAAAACGAAACCGCCCTAAGGTTAAATCTTGACCACCTGCCTAATGGGACGAGCAAGAAGAAATTCCGACAAGTGGTAAGTGAATTTGCTTCCTTATTTAGTGATATTCCAGGATTTACTCAGGTTACTAACCATAGTATTGACACCGGAGATTCATTGCCAGTTCGCCACAAACCATACCGGTATGATAAGAATAAGGAAAAAATTATAGAATGGCATATTACCGATATGCTACGTAAAAAGATCATAACGCCCATCTCAAGTAGTTATGCTAGTCCCGGGTGGTTTTATGTAAGAAAAATAATGATTATCCTTTGGACACATCCAAAAGGTGGAGATTCGCTATTGATTACCGTAAATTAAATTCCATAACGAAATATCCGGTATATCCGTTACCGATTATAGAAGAAATTTTAAGGAACATAAAATCAACCAAATTATGACGACTTTAGACTTAACGACTGGTTATTTTCAAATAGGGGTTAGGCCTGAGGACGTGCCTAAGACTGCTTTTATAACCAAGTCTGGCACTTATGCATTTTTGCGTATGCCGTTTGGCCTTTCAGGGCATGCCCCGCAACATTTCAGCGATGCATGGACATTGTGTTAAGACCTGTTCTTGGAAAGTCCACATTTATCTATTTAGACGATATCATTATTACTAGTGATAATCTCGACCAACATGTACAGGATTTAAGACAGGTGTTTTCTTTATTAAATGAGGCCGGTCTAAAAGTTAATGTCGAAAAGTGCAAATTTGCAGCCCCTGAATTAAAATATTTAGGTTACAAAATATCTCAGAAAGGGAATCGAGACAGACGAATCAAAAATAATCGCTGTACAAAAGTATCCGACTCCAAACACGGCAAAGAAGCTCTCTTCTTTTCTAGGACTTTGTTCATATTATAGGTCCTTTATAAAAGATTTTGGCGGCTATCGCTGAGCCATTGTTAAA